CCCTTCCCCCCCATCCGCTGCCGTTCGTAGGGGTGCGGAGCTGGGCCCTGCGCCCCCCGCTCTCCCTGGGGGGAGCTGCTGCCAAACCTCACCCACCTAATGGTTTCCAGCCCACGTGTAACGCGTGGCCACCTTCGGGGTTGTTTTTTTTTGTGTCTCTTCAGCCAGAATTTGTTTCTGTGGCTTTTCTTATTTTAGTTGAAACAGCTCGTCTACTCTCCTTCTCCTGCCTGTGTTCACTCTTTGTGTGATGTCTTTACGTGCAGATTATCATCACTCTTTCAGTCTTCGTTTTGCTAAGCTATATTTTGTTCTTCTGTAAAATTTAGTTCGTTTTGGTTGATCGTTTTTGGAGCTCATCTGTCCCCATGTTGCTTTTATGTTGCACCTGGGCTGCCAGAACTTGCAGCCAGCTCTTGAGGTCCCAGCTCGCTGCCCCGGTGTGCAGGGGAGCGTGGGTCATCCCTGGCACCTTGGTTTCCTGAAAGCCCGTTGCTCTCAAACAGCGGAGTGGGTGGGAAAGGGAGTGAAAAGAAGGTGTTTGGTATAGAAGGGCAGATACTCTCTTTGGAGACATCCAGCCTGGCAGTGAGTGCATGCATATGTAACACATGCTGCTCCTGTTGTTCCCCACTCTTACAGGCTGGGAAGATTAAAGAAAAGGTGCCATGTGGTCTCTTTAAAATATTTTCCTACGTGTGGGTACAGGGGCATGGCAGTGGCCTGGCCTCCCTCCAGCCCTGGCCCTCATGCCTGCTTTGCAGCCCTGTTGTGCTGGGGCTGCTGAGGCTGCCAGCACTTCGTACTCAGTTTGTCGTGTGCCTACCGAATGCGACCAGAAGAGACACTTTTCTGCAATCTTACTGCCATTATGAAAAAATGTTTCTGAAAGAAATAGTCATGGTATAATTGAGCATAGGGAAGGGTCTTTTTCTCACTTGGCACTGTTCCTTATGACCCATGTGCCGATTTTCTTTTTTTTTTTTTTCTTAGCCCATCAAAACAGAGGAACATCAGTGTTTCTGTTGGGAGGGAGATAAGCCTCCATTCAGAAAGGTTTTCTTAATGTTCAGTATGAACTCTTGCAGCATTAGTTTTATAAAGAAGGCAGTTTGTGCAATCTTGAAACTGAGCCAAAAATTATTGCCATGGTTGAAACTAGATCTTAAGGCAACTCTTTAGGGAAGAATTAAGCTATTGTCTTTAAAATGTGTGTAGATTAGCGTGTTTATTGTTTATTTACTTATTCTTCTCCTTCTTTCCCAGTTTAAAATATTGCATTTCTACTGTCAAATTAGAAGTGGAGAAATCAGTAGTTAGTATTTTAACTTCCAAATACTCTCAATTTATGGAGACTCTTGTCAATGTAATGACTTAAATAGCAATTACTCTTGTTGCCTTGACAGTACCAGATTAGTGTTAATCCATGGTAGTATTAGTGGGAAGTACTTGAAGATGAAAAAGAAACGGTAACTGTGACCTAAGAGTATAGTAGATGAGTTATGACGGTTATGGCTTTGCACTGTGAAGTCTGGTTTTGGGGGTGGGATTTGTATTGATTTCCCTCTAGACCTCCCAGTTTCATCACTTTGTTAGAATCCTCCCTGACCATCGGCTGTTCTTCAACAGCACAAAGGGCTCTAAGGCTGCATTAGAAAGGTGGGAGAATGTCTGATAACCCTTTCGGTGAAAAAATTTTTCCTAATATCCAGCCTGAACCTCTCCCTGTGACTTGGGAGAAGAGACCGACCCCCCCCACCTCTCTACACCCTCCTTTCAGGTAGTTGTAGAGAGCAATAAGGTCTCCCCTCAGCCTCCTCTTCTCCAGGCTGAACAACCCCAGCTCCCTCAGCCTCTCCTCATAAGACTTGTGCTCCAGACCCCTCACCATCTTTGTCGCCCTTCTCTGGACCCGCTCCAGCACCTCAATGTCTTTTTTATGATAGGGAGCCCAAAACTGGACACAGTACTCGAGGTGAGGTCTCACCAGTGCCGAGTACAGGGGGACGATCACCTCTCGGGCCCTACTCACCACACTGTTCCTGATACAGGCCAGGATACCATTGGCCTTCTTGGCCACCTGGGCACACTGCTGGCTCATGTTCAGCCTGCTGTCGACCAACACCCCCAGGTCCTTTTCTGCCAGGCAGCTCTCCAGCCACTCTGCCCCCAGCCTGTAGCGCTGCATGGGGTTGTTGTGACCCAAGTGCAGGACCCGGCACTTGGCCTTATTGAAACTCATCCTGTTGGTCTCAGCCCATCGATCCAGCCTGTCCAGATCCCTCTGCAGAGCCTCTCTACCCTCCAGCAGATCAACACTGCCACCCAGCTTGGTGTCATCTGCGAACTTACTGAGGGTGAGATATATGAATGTCATAAAATATGGGTGATATGGGAGATAGAGAGACAATAGAGTCCTTGTTTTGGAGATGTGAACCTTTCTCTCCTCCCCACCCCCCAGTGTTTAGTGTCTACAGTAGCAATATCTTAACTTTACATATTTTCCCCCTTGTCTAGCCAGAGCAATGGTCATCATTATAAACCATATATAATGCTTTATTGATTAATGTGTTTCTTCTAATGTTGTTCCAGATTTGTGGATGCTATTTTTCTACCAGCTGTCATCGCAACACCAAATTTTACACTGATCCTGTTGAAGCTGTAAAAGATATACCCAATGGGGCAACCATACTTGTTGGTGGTAAATATTTAGATTCTTTATGGGTGCAATCACACATTCTATTAATGAGATACCTTTTACCCTTTTACCATCTTTCTTTTAATATTAACTAGTTTGAGAATCCATGTGTTTGTAGGGATATTTTAAATGAGTGAATTCCTACTCTGCTAATGAGGGGCAGAGTCTTTTCAGTGAGAAAATCCCAGTTTGTGTCCTCGGGAGAGGGAGACAGCACACTAGCAAAGTGTTAGACTTTACTTGTGCCGGGTTGAATGCAGAAAATCAACTTGAGCTTTTACAAGCTTGCTTTATTATTTTGGATGGTGAAGAAATAAAATCTGGTTTGATTATTTTTATGGTAGCATTCTCTATATTCTGTATCTGCCTAGTTCCTGGGTCTCCCTGACCTTGAACAAATCGCCTGACCTGTTCCTAGCTGTAGGAACTGGTGATAACACTTATCTTTGTAATGCTAAATGGCTACATGTAGCATTTCCAAAACAGTCAAGAAGTTATGTTATACTGACTTTCACTGTGACTCGAGCTTTTGGATATTCTGATGATACCCACAATTTCATGCTGTTCAATCCACTGAAAGAAAATCCGTCTTTCTATTTAGTAGGTTATAAGTGATTTTTAGTATTTAAGAAGTAATGAGTATAATGTAAAACATGGGAAATCTCACTGGAAATGGGTAATGAGGCAAAATTTCTTCCAGGAATAAGTGTTGTATTTTTTTTGCTCTTGTTGTAACAAAGGAAGATAGGAGGCTAAGTGCTTGGGAAGGAAATGGTGGTAGCTGTAGTGTTAGAGCCTGGCCTAAGACTTAGGGACCTCAAATGTGGCATGGCATTTCATTTTAAGCGTGCTGGGTTCTTGCATAATATGTAGGAGTGTCAGGCAATTTGGCCTGGGTGGAGATCTGGGTTACTCTGCTTTACAGTTATACATCTTCCCAAGAGTGTTATGATTCCCAGATTTTTATCACCTAATTATAGGCTAAGTTGTATGGGAGAGCTCCTTGCTCCTCCTGTTTGACACTGTTATGTGCAGCAAAGAACCAGAGGTTAGTTGGGTAGAAAGAGAAGGTGGTGAGTACAGTGGTTAGGAGACATATCAGGAGAGCCAGGTTCTCCAAAGGCCACTTGTGTGTGAGCAGAACTGTTCATGACTGAATGGCTTTTATCTGAACTAGGAAGCATCTAGTGACTGGGAGATTCCAGTACTAGAGTGCAGCTCTTCCCAGAAGTGTTGGTTTATTTAGTCAACTAGGGAACTTGTTCTGCTGGGAAAAGATTTTTAATTAAACAGGGCACGTTCTCAGACTTCTTAGTAATCTGTGTTGTTTCAAATACTTGTTAAATATTCAATTTTCTTTCATTTTACGTAGGTTTCGGATTGTGTGGGATTCCTGAAAACCTCATTGGAGGTTTACTGAAGACTGGAGTAAAGGGAATAACAGCAGTCAGTAATAATGCAGGGTAGGTATTCATATGTCTGTGGTTTAATAAGTACAGACTAATTATTCTGTTCGTGTGAAAAGGTTGATATGCATTAAAAAGTATTTTTTCATCATAAGAATTTTCATATTAACCACACAGCTTTGTTTGAAAGTGTTATTTTTGGAATAAGCCCAGAAAGTACAGTAGTGTATGTATACTCAGCTTTGTCAGGGAGCGTTGTCACTATTGTAGACAGTTGCAATTACGTATATTTATATACACCTATCTGGTTGACAGTAACTGAAGATTCTGATTTTAGATGCTTTAAAGTAGTATTGGTGATTTTTGTGTGTGTGTGAAGTTATAAATAGGAATATCTTTTTAACTATATTTTGGTGCTTTCTGACCTTCTTATTGCAATTCTGTTACTTAAAAAAATCCCCAAACAACACAACAAAAGTGGAATTTATGATGAAAGAATGAATGGGTCTTGGCATTTTTGATTTGTTTTTTTAAATGGTTGCCCTTTAAGAAATTCTTGTGAAGTTGACAGAATAATTCTTTTACATATAATTTCTCATTAGTGCTAATTTTTACACAAGCTATTCATTCTAGTAGACTACACAATACCTAACAATCATATAGATTCATATAGAGAACTGAGAACTACAGCCACTTCTGTTGAAGTGCATTGATAAAATAGAAATGAAATTAAATAAAAATATGGATATTCAGAATATTTGAAATTGTATTTGAAATCAGCCTGGTTAATAAAACTGATATTCTGTTCCTTGCAGTTTTGTTGAATGACTAGCATCTGCAGGTGTCCCTAACCTTGGTTTGGTGGTTTATCTTATTAAATATCACCTTCTGCAACTTAACAATACCAGTGTAATTTAGTTCACTGTAGATTTAAAGAATATTGGAAGACTGGTGTCTCCTAGAGGCATTGTACTTTCTTTAGCAAATTATCTTTGATTAAGGAATCCATCCTAAACTCTCTTGTCTTGTGAAGTAAGAGTCTTCTCGCAGCTAGATGTACTGGGGTTACACACCCCAGTTGGTAAGAAGTTTAGTTTGTGAGCGTTCTTTCAGTTTGTTTTTTGTTTGGGTTTTTTATGTGTTTGTGTTTTTTTAAATCTTTTATAATGTTGCTTGCTTTCAGCAAATGGTATATTTTTTGTGAACTTTACTTTTGAATGCTGTATTTGTGGTGAAATAATAATAATAATTTCGTATTGTTTTCATGGAACGTCATTAATGCTCGCAGTTCTGAGCCCTTTCCTTGGGTTTGATGTCTCCCATCTGTTCTGTAGAAGCTCAGCCTTTATCCAATTTCAGAACTAGAGCCTTTAAGGGGGAAAAAAAAATCACTGGGAGACTGTTTTCTTCTGTACCTATGTTAGAATAAAAGAAAGACAAGTTTATGTGAGCCAGAAGGGTTGTTTAGTTATAAAGAACTTTGTTCTTCATACAAATGGAAATAGATGTCAAACCTTGCTCCTTCAATTCCTTCAGCCTTGCCAAAGAAGTGAATTAGGTGGGATTTATCTAATAATGCTTTGTGCTATTTTCAGCTGCATCATTACGTCTACCATATGCTTTGTCCATAGATTTGTATCCCAATCTGTTTTGTTTTTAACCCAACTGTATTTAACATAAGTTAAAACCAGAATACCATTCAAAAACTACAGATTTAATTTATATCTCTGTCTCTCCCAAACTTCTGAGGCCAAAGTTCACAATATGTTGATCTTCATTTTTTCCAGTGCCTCATGCTTGCCATTGCACATTCACTGTGTAACAGATAAAATTTGTATTGGTATTTGGCACATACGTAGTCACATTCAAGCTCCTTAGACTCTTGTGGGAAACAGCTTCCACTGGATGATAAAAAGGGGACAGAAAGAGACAGATATAATTCTAAATGGAAAGATTAATCACTTAGAGTAGAGATCATGCACTTTGTTCATACTCTTACTTCTGAATGACCCACATCTATGCAGATGAAGAGATTATACAGAAGCTCCTGGGAGGGAGGTGAGGAAAAGTGAGAAGAGAAACATTGGGGAATAGAATAGAGAAGGTGATGCTTTGTGCTGTTTTCTGCATATGGTTGTTGGTGATAAACGATAGCATTTTTTTCAGCTAAATTAATTCTAACTTTCCTGAAAATTCCTTGGATTTTGAGGCTTGAGTGATAACTGAAAAACATCTGGTTGCTGGTGGGAAAGCAAAATTTAATTCTTTTTTTCTTGAAGCTAGTTTTCCATGAACACTCATGGGAGTCTGGTAAGCTCGTCACAGAACAGTGTAATGATTTGAAAATGGCCGAGAACATGTAGGTTTTTCATAAAGTCTAGTTTGTAAAAATCCTGGTTTTGCTCTCATGTTGAACAGTACAATTTATTTCAAAATTAAATTATTAATAAAATGTAATCTTATCTGTTGTTTTTATTTATTATAGTACTATTATATGGAACTTAGCCTGCTATAGTTTGGTAGAATTTGGGAACCAGGCTAAAGCACAGATATCATCATTAGTAAAGTGAGAATCCTCATCACAGTGATTGATACCATTTAAACAACTTCTTGTCAAAACTATAGCGATATTATTGAGTATTGCAATACTAACAAATGGATTTGAAAACTGAAGTAGCACAGCAATCATACACCCCTCAGCAGTACTATTCAAAGGCTGAATTTTTCCTGTAGTCTCAGGTATTTTGTGGGATGGGTAATTTCTCACTTTCCAAGATGCCTCAGGATTCAGTGTGTTTTGCTCTGGCTCTGTTGTGCTGCAGCTGATGATGACGTTCTGCGTTTCATCTTCCTGACTGCTTTCTCTTCTCCAGCTCTGCCAGCAAACAGGAGGTAATTGGTGTGGTTAGGTTTTCTTATCCCGCAGTGGGGCTAACAGGCAACTCGTAATTGGAGCAGGGAAGGAGCCAAGTACATAGACAGGCAGCCCGTTCTGGAGAACAGCGCAGCTCCATGGATTAAGTCACAGGTCCTTCAATATGCGTGAACCACAAAATGTGTTGCAGAGCTATCCCTTTATAACTAAAATAGCAGCAACAGAGGCAGCACTTCACTTGCATCTAGGACAAAGCAGTAATTAGGAAGTCCAGAAGCACTCTTACCAACTCTCTTTCAGCTGAAAAGGAGGTTTAGCAAAGCCCAGAAATGCTTGGCAGCGTCTGGAAACAATCTTAAAAGAGTAGGCTGTTCACAAGTTCACACCCTGCTGTTCTCTGTGCTGCAGGGGGAGGTTCCTCCTGCAAATCCTTGTTCAAGTCACGTAGTTGCTGGCAGGTAAAGTCCTTGTTTTGGCCCGTGAAAGGCTTGCCAAGGACAGGTTGCACGGTAGCGTATGGGGTGCTCTTCAGGCACCCTGGTTATAAATACTGTACTGCTGAAGTTGCTGTCCGTTGCTGTGCACCCTGCTAGTGCCTGTGCTGTGTGCTAGCTAGTGAAACGGCACCTTTAAGGGTAGTTACTCTTTTGCCAAGCCAAACAAGGCAACGCGTTTGAGAGGGAAGCAGTTCAAATATCCAGTATCTCTGGTATTTGCTCAACTTGCTGCAGGGGAAATGAGCTTGTGAGCCAGGGAGATAGTGAGAGATACTATGATGGGTGGATGTGCTTCTAAAATACAAACTCTCACACCTTCCCTTATAACTTGTTTTGCCTATGTTGTTCGTATTTTAGGTAGTTCTTGACACTGTGTTATTACAAGCCCTTTAAATGTAGAGGATTCTGTCTCAGTAAGCTACTAAAATCCATTTTATTAAGTTTTTGCTCCATTATTGTTTAAATTTGGTTCACTCCACACACACCACTAAGTCCTTATTTTAAAACTTGATTCAGTAAATTCCTGACATGGTTGTGAATAGTATACAGTACCTTCTTGCCTGTAGCTGTTTTTCACTCGTGACTTCGTGGTATCTTGTTGCATACTAATTTCAAGCTAGAGTGGACTTGGATGTTTCAGGTCAGCTTGTGCTAAGACTTTCCAAATGCAGGTTATCAGACTTATTTCTTCAGATTCTGTGTTGCAAGAAAAACTGTGTTCTTGTCAACACAGCCTAATATTTAAAATGAAAAGTTTAACAAGTTGGCACCAAATGATTATTTTTAATTAATTTTGCTTAGTGAAATAGATAACTAATTTTGGGTATAGTCACATTCTGAAATCAACACTTTTGTTATGTCTCTACCACCTCAATAGGTTGAATCTGTACTTGGTAAAAATGAAGTCCATTACTTGTAGTAGCTGCACATGTGGTCTGACTGTTGCATCAAATGAGCTACTTCCCTCTGGGCTCTGTCTGCTTTTAAGACTTAAATGTGCCGCCTTTTTGAATTTTTACTTGCAGTAAAAATAGAGAAGACACAGTTAATATCTTAATTACTAATCACCTGGGTGATCATCTAAAAGGAGATTGACAGCATGCTGTCAGATTATCATGGATTCAGACTGTCTGCTGAAAAGGCATTACCAGGATTTTGAACATTTGGTCTCTGTGCTCTGTTTTAAGAAGTTCTGTTTGTGCTAACAACATTATGCATTAGTAAGGAGAAAACAGCTTTGAGATAAACATTTGAACCCTTGGTCGTGATGCCCAAGTGGATTGTTATTTAGTTCTCTTGAACATAATACCTGTGTTTCCTAATGGGCTATTTGCAGTTGCCAAATCTCCAGATAAGGCACTGTTCTGTGGCATCAGATGCAATGGTAAGCTTACAGCACCTCGTATTCTGAAGCACAATAGTTATTTTTATGTTCTTGGGAATTAAATATTTTGAATTTAAGGCAGGATTAATAAATGTCATGTATGTTACGGTTTAAGATTATCTCATTTTTCAGTCATTGCTTTGAATTGTGTGTTTTGAGTTGTATGTTAAAAACAAAATGTGTCTGACATCTGTGCCACAGACTCCCTGTTTGTTCTTGCATATGTAACTCCTATAGCTTAATTCCATCCTTATTTTTACTGTCATATATATGTATGTTATATATACATATAAGTAATATA